GCGGTCTCCGGACGATGTTCTGGTCCCCGGCTCCGGCCGGTGTCTGGTCCCCGGCTCCGGACCGGTGTACTGTTCCGTGGCTCCGGCCGGTGTCTGGTCCCCGGCTCCGGCCGGTGTCTGGTCCGCGGCTCCGGCTGGTGTCTGGTCCCCGGCTCGGCCGGTGTCTGCTCTGCGGCTCGGCCAGTGTCTGGTCCCCGGCTCTGGCCCCACAGCTCCAGGCTCCAGCCCTGGCTCCCCGTCGGGGTGGCTGGTCTGCGCTGCCCCAGCTCCCGCTCCTGTGGCTCAGAGCTGCTGCTCTGCCTCCAGCCCGGCTCTGCTTTCTGGGCTGCTGCTCTCCCCTTAGCTCTGCCCTACTGCGGCTCAGGCAGCCCCAGCTCACACCGAGGAAGGGCCCCCAGGCTCCTGGCTCCCCCATTGGCCTGCCTGCCCTGTCAATTATGTTGACCTGGAGTGTAGGCCTCTCTCCATTGGCCCTGGGAACTGTCAGTCTCAGGATTCTGATTTATTTTCAGGTCTTCCCCTTTCTTTTGGTATTGCGAGAGGCCAACCAAAAAACCCCCCTGAGTTTCAGTGAAGGACCAACGGCCCCGTATACATGGGGCGGGCAAGGGGAGCCCAGAGCAGGGCCGCCCATCTCCAGAGCTCCTAACCACACCGAGCAAAGAGCAGGGCCTTGGTCTCGACACACCTGGCAGCACCTGGGAAGTGGAGGCCGGGGGGCTTCCAAAAACAGATCAGGCCAGACAAAAAAACTGAGCTCTCCCTTTGATCCAAGTGCATGTTTGTGACCAAGGGAAAACAGGGGGGTCGCAGTTCCACGGGGCCAGGCTAGTGCTGTGATTTGGTAGCAAGGGTGTGATTAACGCAGTTCCAGTAGTTACCGCTAGCATGATTCTAGCACAAGTGACACCTTGGTCATTCTGAACAGCGATTTGTTTTCTCCCTGGCAGTCATGTGGTGACTGACTATGCTATAAACCCCGGCTATCCTCTACCTGCTGTGTCCGAATCTACAGCACTGATTGGCTAGCCTGAGTCTCAGGAAATATTCCTGTCCATGCTAGGCGGGCAGACAGGGCTACAGCGTGCTAGCAATGGCTGTGCGGGAAACGTGTGTTGAGCAAGGGAGCTAGCCGGCTTCAGCTGTAGTGTGGACAGGGCTTTAGCGCTGCATGCTCAGTTGCGAGCCCCACAATAAAAACAGGACATCTTCAAATGGGAGACTCTCAAGAAGGGGCTACGCACTTGATAAAGGGACTGGAGGACGTGTTGTCTCTGTTCTGTCTGGGTTTTTATACCACTCGTCACTGCTCTGCCTGACTATCGCCGTTCTTGTCTGGAGAGTCTGTAGCGGGGCCACAGGAAAGGGACTTGAGGGGCTATGCAGCGAAGTGGGAGGGACAGTCGCTGACCATGTCAAGAAATAACCCTGGCGTGCTCCTGCCCCTGGAGGGGTTGGTGGTGAGAGCCCGTGCAAGGGCACAAGGAGCGCAGCAGGCACCGTATGGATCACCAGGACGCTGGGCTGGGCGCAGGCAGGGAGGGTGAATGGCTGTGCCGGCTATGGGTGCAGGGAGGGGCTCGTTCCCTCTTCGCTAGGGAAGGCTGCAGGGGGCCGTCAGAGGGAACAAATGGCCACATGGAGTGAGAACGTCAAGGGAGGCATTTTCAGAGGTGGGAAATGGGATCCAAACCTGAAAAACCGGGGTATCACCGGAGAGCTTGGGCAGTGTCGCATGCCATTACAGCTGCCCCCGCATTGCTCCTCTTGCAGCGTGAGCAGCCACTGGGAGTAGGCGCAGGGCCCTGGGAACGCCGGCAGGGACAGGGGCTCGCAGGGACCTGACTCTCAGGAAGCCTGGAGGAGCTGCTGGGGCAGGGGGAAGAGTCCTGTGGGAATTCCAGCGCAGCTGAGAGCACGCGAAGCTGGGCGCTAATGGGCTGCAGCTTCACTGGGAGTGAGTGCATCCTGCCGGCTGATTAGCACAGCTGGGCTCAGACACTCTCCTGTTTTATTGCTTCCTCTCTGCTCAGGAAGGTGGCGGGCTTAGATAATTATAGGCAGAATGCCAGCACCTCTGGGCCTTCCGTCAGGGACGCTGACTCTCACAGGTCGCGAGAGAAGCACCTCAGCGCTGGCGTCCTTAACCTTTTCCTGGGATCCCAGTCCAGCCACATGCTGCATCCGCCCACAAATGCTCCTGGTTCCTTGGAGTTTGCAAACATCTAGTGACCACAGTGCTCGGGGTCCTGCCTGGAGGAGCTGGAAATCTGGAGAGAGGGCTCTGTGCCGGGCATGGGAGGGGAGCTCCTGGCTGTCTGACATGTCCATCACACCTCCCATCTCTTAGGGGTTTGTACGGATACTCCCAGGAGCGCCTTAGCCCAGGGCTGGCGGGACTTCTCCAACTCTATCCTTGAGGGCAGCGTAGTGGGGTAGAGAGCGAGCCGGCCCCTGGAAGGGGTCCCCCCGCCGACTCTAAATGCTTCCCATCCACTCCAACCAAGCAGCTTCTGTGCGGCCGCTGCATTGACTCTTCTCTGGACCCCGGGCGCCCCGGCTTTCCTTTCCTGGCTCCCTGCTCTGCCTTCGGCTCAGGGCTGAGACAGAAGCTCCATTTCTGGGGGCTCTTGTGCTCCAGCACCTGCCACAAGGCTCTGGCACCCTGGGATTTGGGACCTAAGCACCTGGGGGGGTTTCGTAAACTATGTGCAGCCTCCATTCCTGTCACCTCGGTGCCATCCCAGTCTTGGAACTCCAGTAACGGCATGTTCGC